ATATATAATATTTAATTAATTAAAATATCTTTGAAATAATTTTAGAAAACTTGCGATGTTACAGTCAATACTTGCAATCTATTACCATTTTGTAAACTTGAACTATGATTTTTGAATCAAAGTGTTTCTAAAAGTTATTGTTCAGTTAGTTTTATAAGGTGTTGCTTTTTTATGAGGACAATTTTAAAAATTACATAGTTCATGCTACCTTGAGTTTTTAATTCTATTTTTAAAAAATTATTTCTTTCAAATATATTTTGTAATTTTAATTTTAAATGTATTTTGTATAAACCAATTTAACATCATGTTTTTCTTAATTATGAATATTTGTGATATATTCTATTAAGAAATATATTTTACGTTGTTTTATTGCTTTTTTTTTAACCTTAGTATGGTAGAAGTTAGAGTTGAGATAAATCTAAACTTAAGTTATAGAAGGTATAACTTAAATGTGTGAGAATTGACCTTGAGAGATCAAAGGTATTTAGGTGGATTCTGAGATATAAATTTTATAAGTTGATAACTCTAAAATTCTAAAGAGAAGTTAGAGAGAGGTACTCTAAAACCAACGGAGTTTGATCTTCGATCTGATTCTGACGAAAAATCTTTTTTCTTCCCCTGGTCGATAGTTGACATGGTAGAAACCAAGATTCAATTTGAGGAGTTGCGAATCTTAGAGAGAAATTGCCATACAGAGGGTTTTAGGGTTTCTCTTTTCTTCCTTATTTTCCTCGATTATGGAGAAATCAAGGTAAAAGAAACTTGTTGTTTGATCTTTCATGTTATATGTGTTGATTTTACTCTGTTGATTTAAGCTTTGGTAAACATTTAAGTTGTAACTCTATGAGTAGAAATTTGAGTGTTCTTTTTTTCTTGTTGTTTTTGATGAAAAATGGAGAAAATTGGTGATATTCTTGACTTTTGATGGTTGCATGTTGTTCCTTTTGATGGAATTGAGTTGCACATGTTGTATATATGTTGAATTTGAGGTTGCATGTTAGTTTTTTTTTGTTGGTGAAAGATTTGCAAGTTGGAGCCAAAATCGTGATTTTGCCAAATGAAAAAATCACCATCGCCTCGAGTGCAACTTCATTGAACTAGGTATGATGCAGGTTAGAGGCTCTCTGCCTCACTAACACCAGCGCGAGATAGGCATCGTTGGACGTGAGTTAGAGGGGAGGTTCCTAACTTGGTCACGCTAGACATGGGTTGAGGGATATCGAGTGTGATTGCTTTATGAGCTCTTTGCCTTAACGACGTCAAAAGCAAGTTGAGTAGTGTCAAGCATGGGTCAGGTAGAGGTTCTCTACCTCACCAACGTCGAGCACGAGGTGAATGGATCTAGACTTAGTTATGTTGGATGAAACTTGTGATTTTAGTTGTTTAAATGTTGAAAGTATGTTGATTGCTTATATGATATGTATTAAGGAGTGTTTGTAGTTCATACATTGATCTATGATGATGGTTTAAGTTGATTAAGTGAAAAGTTGTTTATTGTTTGAAGTTGTATAAGGTAAGTCATATGATGATAAGTTGTGAATGTAAGTTTCTATTGATATTGTAAAATACTTGATGTAGTATGGAGATGAATTATGATGAAATAAATTAGTTGGAATATATGATGTTAAGTTGAATGATTATATATATATATATATGCATTGTACCTAGCTATACCAAGTATCTAGGCAACTTGAAAAAATAAATATTAACGAATTTCTTATTTCCTAAAATATTCCTATTTCCAACATACCCAATCTGTATTAGTGAAAAAACAACATTCCTTTCACTATTTTTTTTTTATTTAAAAAAATAGACGTTTTCCACGATTGCTCTTTAAGTTCCTCAAAATTTTGTAGGCTGCTTGAAGGTGTTCTTCATAAGGAGAGTGCAAAAACTGATGTTCAACACACAAAAAAAGCAATAACAGGCCATGTATGAGACAGGTAAATTAGTTTGTCAACTAAACTACGGTATCTTCCAACATCAATAGGAACACTTCCTTCTTCCCAAAGTTTCATGTTGGGAGTCTGCATCACAATAGGCATGGATCGAGAGAGAGGAAGGAGAAGAAGCAGGAGGAATATTAAAAAGGAAACAAATAATACCTCTTCCAATTCTTATTATAAGACATTTTTAATCAAATCATACATATCAATATTAGTAATTATGTTAGTTGATTTTATTAGGTTTATAAAACAAGATCATGATGTGTCATTTTACCTTTTTTACTTATTAAATTTTCATGGGAGGGGTGAATATATTACTCTATATCAAAGCTTACGCACCAATACCAATAAAATTGATAAATGACAAATGAAGAGTTAAGAGGTGAGAAAGAGAATATTTATTAATTATTTATCAAATTTCCTTCTCATTATTTAACAATAAGAAGCACGTATTCTCACAATATGTAATAGGAACAAAGGATAAAAAATAAAAATTAATACTTAATAGAAATTGTATAGTATCTTATAAAAAGGACTATCATTTCCTTTTAAATTGTGCCTTATAATAAGGATCGAAGGGAATAAGAGATCTTATTTTTAAAACAAAATAAATCAAATCTCTGTTGCCTTTAATATGAAAATTTGCAATATCTTTAATTCCTATACCCCCCTCCCTTCTCTCAAGTTGGTGCATATATATTTATCATGCTCAACTTGCTTATCCAATGCTCAAAAGTGAGCCTTGCTAGGTTCTTTGCCAAGAAGTTGGTTGTTTGTTTACTAGAAGCCACAAATGGTAAGAAAATAATTTCAGCATCTATCATACTAAACAAGATTGTGAGCTATGCTTACTACAGCTTTGCTGCCACAGTACAACATCAATGAGAGTTCCGCTGCCATCTCGAGTACTTCTAGGACAATACAAATCCATAGTCGTTCACAAATTCCTTTTGCCATTGCTCTAAATTTAGCTCCTGCACTACTTCTAGCAACAACTCCTTGTTTCTTCCTTCCCCATGTTACCAAATTTCCCCACACATAGATGCAATTACCTGAAATGGATTTTTTGTCTATAACAGACCTTGCACTGTTGGAAATAGGAATATTTTAGGAAATAAGAACTTCTTTAATATTTATTTTTCCAAGTTGCCTAGATACTTGGTATAGCTAGATTAAATGCATCATAGAAACTAGGAAGTAGTGGTATCTTAATTGTTCTCTTGTAATTTGTGTTGGCATTAATTATCTTTGTAATTCTGCTGAATATAAATAACCCATTCTGTTGGGTGGAATTACCGGATATTCAGAAAATATTTGTTTTTTTCTTTTAACATGGTATCAGAGCTCCCAGTTTAAGGTGGCTCTACTTCTGCAACAAAATCACTTTGAAAAAGGTCTGATTGGGCTATTAAGCTGTCAGCAATTTGTAAACTTGACTGGGAACTGAGTGCTGTCAAGTTTTACTGCATTTCTCTGTTTTTTGGCAACTGTCAGATGTTCTGGTAACTTTTTTGGTTATTTTCAGATTTTTCGGTGACTTTTCCGGCAGCTTTTCCAATGACTAGCAGATTTCTCGAGGATTTCTCAGCATCCTTCCAGTTACTTATAGCTTTTTGAACTTGCATTGGAGTTCAATTCCCTCTATTTTTTTCTTGTTAGGCACACCTTTATCTCAAAAGTCTAAATTTTCTATTTGATTTGCTTTTAATTCTCTTATCTTCTTTTAAAGAGTGTGGTGAGATTCGAAGTGGTTTATCTTCTACCTTGAAGTGACACTACTTGAAAAGAGTTCTTCACCTTTGAAGGTGAGTCCAGAGGTTTCTTTCTCCATCGGAGATTTTCAAGAAGCTTGAAGAGTGTCAATAAGGAAAAAATCTAGGAAGAAACTTGAAGGAAAAGCTACAACAACCAAGTTCCTCCTCGAGGTTTCTATCATTTGTTTAGTATTCTGCATGAACAGTGCCAATTTTTTCATCCAAACAAACGACAGATTCTATTGCGTTTCAGGAAAAAAAATTCTGAATATGTTTGAGTGATAATTTCACCCAGCAGAATGGATTTATTTATATTCAACAGAATTACAAAGATAATTAATGCTAACACAAATTACAAGAGAATAAGATACCACTACTTCCTATGATGCATTGTACCTAGCTATACCAAGTATCTAGGCAACTTGAAAAAATAAATATTAACGAATTTCTTATTTCCTAAAATATTCCTATTTCCAACATACCCAATCTGTATTAGTGAAAAAACAACATTCCTTTCACTATTTTTTTTTTATTTAAAAAAATAGACGTTTTCCACGATTGCTCTTTAAGTTCCTCAAAATTTTGTAGGCTGCTTGAAGGTGTTCTTCATAAGGAGAGTGCAAAAACTGATGTTCAACACACAAAAAAAGCAATAACAGGCCATGTATGAGACAGGTAAATTAGTTTGTCAACTAAACTACGGTATCTTCCAACATCAATAGGAACACTTCCTTCTTCCCAAAGTTTCATGTTGGGATTCATAGGGTTATCAACAACTACTCGTCTCTGTTTCCTCTAAGAGGTCCAGAATGTACTTCCAGAATGTATTGAGCAATGCCAAGAAAGTATCTCAGATCCTAATTCCTTGATCTCAAATTTTGTTGCCAAGTTCTTTTTTAGCCTCTCTAATTCTACTTCATCATCTTCATTGAGGATGAAGTCGTCAACATAGACTATCAGTGCAACAACTATCCCTTTAGAAAGAAATTGTAAATAAGGTATGATTTGCTTACCTTTCAAACCATGCTCTGTTTCCAAATTTGTTTTCAAAGCCTAGAGGACTATCCATGTATAATCTTCCTCTAAGTTGCCATTGAGGAAGACATTTTTTAGTTGTGATAAAGATACTTAAATTGAATTGTGATAAAATCACGATAGGATCTAATCACTTAGATTACTCTCTTGTGTAAGAGATCTCTTAGTTGAAATATGTAATGATGCATTATGTTGCCATGTTATATTGTAGCTTAACTTGACATGTACCCTGCTAAATTGTGTTACATTGTTATCTTACTATGTTGATATGTTGTTGATGAGTTGTGTGTTCTGCAATGTTAAGTTAATATGATGTTGAGTTGAATAATTGTGTTAAGTTGAAAATATGTGGATATGTTGTTTTGTGTTGATATAACACTACAAGAAAATTCGGTATTTCAGACGGCAAAAATCCGTGGGAAATGCCCAAAATCCGTGGGTAATGAGGCATTTCCGACGGATTACCGACGGACACTAATCCGTCGGTAAATTGGACGTCTGAAATTTTCCCACGGATTTTAATCCATGGGTAACTTGGACGTCTGAAATTATAATCCGTCGGTAAATTGGACGTCTGAAATTATAATTTTTTTTAATTTTAATAAATTTATTAATGTAACAACCCTCATATTTGGCCTCTCAAGGGTTCTATTTCACGATATTTCATTGTTTAGTGTGTTATATCCTTACTTGTGCAATAAAGAAGATTTAATCTAGAAAAAATTTCATTAACCCCTACTTGAAGTTTTTCTCAATAACGTCATACATATATCTCTTCTCAAATTTTTAAGTGAGTATTAATTTTCTTATTTATTTATTTAAGAGGCACATACAACTACTTATATAAGATAATACTGTTTATATACTATTAAGAGAAAATAATTTATTAATACAAATATCAATAATTAAATGAGATTTGATCTCTTATTTCATTATTTCAACTTTTTTGAAATTTATTTTAAATATCATGCACACTGTGATTTAAAAAAATATATTAAATTTAAGTAATAATTTTAAAAATGAATTGAAAAAAATCTTATTTTCAAAATTGAAGATCAATGAAAGTTTTCATCAAAATGACATAGTATTGGATGTAATTTAGAAATAAATGATAGATACATATATATGATTTGCAGAACATAATTTAACTTTTTCCCCCTTATTTAATTAATAACGTTATTTTCAAAGAGATGAGTGATTTTTAAAAATTAAAGAAAAGATGTGTGTTATTCTTAAATTTGAACATCATGTGTTGGTATTTTTCAAGATAAGTAACAAAAAACACATTTACGCTAATTAGTTTATAATTTATAATAACCTAAACATATAACTATATATAGGTAATATAAGTCATACCTCACACACTTTGATTTATATTTATCTTATTTATATTTTGAAAACACCCATATAATAATGAAAACATTATATAGTGCGTTGGTGTGTATTGATGCGATTAGGATTGGTTGCATTTGAAAAATAATTGGCTTAAATTTTATTTAATAATTTCAGACGTGGGAAACTCCGCCAGAAATTTCAGATGGATTTTAATCCGTGGGAAACTTCGTCAAAAATTTTAGAAGGATTTAAATCCGTGGGAAATTCCGTCAGAAATTTCAGACGGATATAAATCCGTGGAAAATTCCGTCGGAAATTTCCCACGGATATAAATCCGTCGGAAATTCCGTCGGAAATTCCTTCATGTAAAAATCCGTGGGAAATTCCGTCGGAAATTTCCCACTGATCTAAATCCGTGGGAAATTTCCGACGGATTTTGGTCCGTGGGAAATAATCCGTGGGAAATTTGACTTTTTCTTGTAGTGTAAAGTTGGAGATTGATGAACTCATTTGTGTATATTGCTAAGATAAGTTGATTGTTGTAGCATAAATATGTTGAAATTGTTGATATAGTCACATCTTACTTTTATATTATATATGTATGCTTTGATGTTTACACATTTATTCTTATTTGTTGTTGTGGATTGCGATAATCATACTTGTTATAGGAACAAAATAAGTTTAAGTTGGAGGGCACGCTTGGTGGTTAGCCATTGTGAAGATGACTTTTATATGTTGTTGTGTTGTTTTGACACATGTTTTAGAGATGCTTGAACGATCCTAAAACTTTGTGTTTTTAGTATTTTATATTAGATGTATATTGGTATATATGTATAGGTTTTTGTTGTAACCCCATAAAATAATTTATATTTTTTTAAAGTTAAAATTGGCAGGGAATATTTTAGGTTTTCTACACCCTAGGCCTATACATATATCTATTACATAATGTTCGGGTAATATTGTACAATAACCCTAGTTTAATAAATTTTATATTTTTTCATTGCATAATGTTTTACTGTACTAAGTGTAATAATTTGTCAAATCGTTACGACAATGTATTTTTAGTTGGAAGTTAAGAATTAATTGTCTCAAGTTATGAGATCTATTAAAAATTAGAATAAATTTTGATTTAATTACTAAAAAAATTATTTCTTAATTATATTTAAATTATTTTTCATAACTTATTATAATATCTTAATTGTTTATATTTTCATTATTATTCTTAAATTACATTTCAATAATTGTTAAAATAAAATCTCAATAGTTATTTAAAAATAATGTTGTATATATTATAATGTATATTATTTGTTGAAGATTTAAAATATATTTTATATATTGAAAATATTTATTTATTATAATTTTAATTATATTAAGATGAAAATTTATTCTCTTTGAATTATACTGGTTAAAATATTAATATGTTATTAAGTTGGACCACACGGAATCAGAAAAGACAGGATAGGATATAATTAAAATGGAATAATAATTTATTAAAAAAACAGAAAGAAATTGATAATGTAGTTTAATCTATTTTAATCTTACATGTAACAATAGATCCTATTACATGACGAATTACATTATTAAATTAAAATATTATATACTCGAAAAAAGAATTTTATTGTCTATAATAATCTTATTAATTAATTCAAATTTGATTTTATTTGATAAAAAATGCACGTGATTATTACAAAAATAAAATTTGAATTTTACATTTATAATTTATTTATTTATTTATTTTTAATGGTACTAACATTTACTAATTAATTAATAAGAAATTCTACGGTACCTACTATAATTGTGGAGTACCGGAACAGTCATTTTTTAATTTTTTTTAATTTTTTTTATAATTACTTGTTTTATTTTTATTTTAATTTAATATTTTTAATAATTTATCTTTTATGAAAATTGACCTTTTGATTATTTTGTTTTGAATTAGTCTTTTTAATTGATTTATTTTATACAAATTTTTAATCTAAAATTTATGTGATTTTAAATTTATTTTTTAAAGTTTATTTTTTCACATAATGTAATGTATCAAAGTCTTTCAATTTTCATGGGTACTAGTTCCCTTAATTAATATATATTATATAACAGACAGTTTCTGGTTGAAATTACATGTTCACTTGCGACAATTGTAACGATTATGAATATATCTTGGTTAAAGAAAGTAAATAAATAGGAAAAGCTTCTTTGATGCTTTCCCTTTTCCAAAAATCATTTACAATTTCCATCTGCACTAACAAACCAGACAACTCTACTACTCTTGTTTCTTTGATTCAGTGAAAGCATCAAGAGATTAAAAAAAGAAAAAGAACAACAATATGGTGAAAATTAAATAAAATAATAAGGTATATGCATTGAGAAACTTCATTTTGTGAACCTGGAAAACCGATCACAATAACACCCTTTCTGTTAAAAAGCATCAGATATGGCTCCCAGAGTTCCCCCAAACACTTCAATAGTCCATGCAAACTACATAGTCCTCATTGCTGAAACCTAAGGGCTTAGGTTTTGATGCTAATGAAGTGGTCAGGGGAATTCAAGGGGACAACTGACCTTCCTTTATGGAATCAATGCTAGCATGCATTTGTGTTTTGCAAGGCAATGAATGTTGCTAATAACAAGCATATTCTTATTTATAGTGATTATGTAAATTTGTTGTTTCACCTTCTATGTGTAGTCACAATGACCCTTCAGTTGGGGAACAGTACACTGATTGAGAAAAAAAATGTTGTGAACATGAACCTAGTCGGATTTTGTTGTCAAGGGAGAAGTATATTTAGTGCTTGCACTTTCTTTTGACATATTATTCACTGATATCTCATCACATTGCTTTAGCTTACAAGTTGCAGAAGATGCCCTAGGAAAAGTGCATGGTCCATAATGTTTATGTTGCATTTGCTCTTGGCTCATGAGTAGGGAAATATTTTCTAGAATTCTGAAGCTTTTCTGTGTGTTTATCAATTCTTTTAAAAAGGGGTTTATTCTTTTGTGTAAAAAGGAAGCTAAAAATGACAGGAGAGAAGAGAATGAGAATTGATTTTGATTCATTATTTAAAGATTTTTATATTCTTAATTAATTGGAAATTATTTTAATATGATTTTTTTAAAGTAATTATTATAAAATTTAATTTTTATATATATATATATGATAATTCATGATAGGATAATAATCAATTTGGAAAAGAAAATAAAAAATGATCTGTTTGACTTTGGCACAGCCTTATCTCCTCCATTATGCACATAGCCCACCTTTAAGTATATGTTCACAATATAATT